AATTGCAATTTCATTAAAAATAATTTTTTACAGCTGGATTTAAATTCTTATTCTTTCCCATCTTTTATCACATAGTTCTGCTTTCTGCTTTCCATAATCTGATGAATAATGAAAATTCTTTTCAAAGCATGCGAGTCCTGATATTATCTTATAAACCAGTCTCTAATCTCTGATAGTGTGTACTTACTTAGTCTCATCAGAGAAGCTGTACAGCCATAAATTCATGAGCACTGACGCTAATGCAAATCTGTATTCCTAGAGCTAGATGTAATTCTTTCAGTTTCTTTGCACCACCAGCACTCAAAAATACTCCTTCTAGAAGTAAAATTGTCCCAGACCTTCTCGTCCACTGCGATGAGCTGTTTAGTCTGGTGCCCAGTCTGACCCATAGCAGTCTGAAACCCAGGGATGTTGGCTCAGGCAAGTGTTCCCCTAGCCCAGTGTTGAGTGTCTAACCGTGGCAATAGCTGATGCTATGTTGGACTTGAGCCCGGCCCTTTTTAGTGGTCCGTCATGAAGCAGCCCTGCATTAGGGATGATAGATGATATATCCTGCCTATTTCCTTTAATAACTGTCAGTTTATAAATTGCCCATGACTTTTTGTACTCCCTTGTTTTATATCATGGCAAACGATCCATGCTGTCTTGCTCTCTTGATGGTGTCCAGTGTTTTGTTGGCTGTTTAGGCTGCCTCTGCATATTGAGCTGATAATTCAGGGTCCCCAAATGATACCAGTGACTGCCTCATGAGTTTCAACTGACAGTGCCAGGACAGCAGCACCAGTGGGCAAGTTTCCAGAGACCCCATGCCTTTTCTGATGGTAAAATCTTGGAAAGCATTGGCCAGGTAGCATGCCTGAAAGTGTAGAACCTGCATTGGGCTTGTAGTGCATAATGCATTATTCTCTTAGGAAAAATCCCAACATTTTGTCTTGTTTCACCCTAAACAAGAGGTCAGTGGGCAGAGCTGCCAGGCTAAGCAAACCCACGTGTGTGCTGTTCCTGGTGAGGGCTCAGTGCCTGCAAGGGATGTGAGAGCTGTTTTCTCTGCGTGCATATTTCTTGACTGAATTTCAGAAACAAGTGTACAAAGAAGTGGGGAAACTCTGACACCCACTGGTCTTGGGGTTCTGATTTTATCCATCCTGCTTAGCAGGTTTTTAAAAATTTCTGCCAAGGCTCCCCCGTTCCTCTATGCTGACTCTGTACAGCACTAAGGCTGCTCCACTATTTCTAGTAATCACTGCTTTTTGTAATCAGTCACTTTTGTAAGCGTGACTACATATCTGTGTCTGCACTCACAGACACATAATATATTCTACCAACCCAACAATTTCCTGGAAGTTGAAAGAGGGGGAGGAGTTGGCGAAGTGAACTCTGCTGTTGAAGAAATGGAATAAATGGCTTTATGCCTGAAAGTTGCAATTTTCAGCATCATTTACACTGAATACAAGCCCCAAAGAAAGGCAGGTATAAAAAATGAGATGCAGTGATGACCTTTATCAGCTGTGGTGACAACTATAAATCAGGCTGCAAATTCTCATCAGCTCGCTGGACAGAATTCATTACAGACAGAGGTTGCTGCATTGCTTTTTCTCTTTGATTGAGGTATGTCCCATTTAAATAAATGCTCTTGCACTGGAACAAATAACACACTTCAAAACAGAAGTCCAGGGATATTATTCATTGATTCTTTTGAGGACTAAGATAATACGAATTACAGACCAGCTAAACCTCACAGTGTTTTGCTTGGAATATAATGCAGATCAATTTGTTCTTCTCTTAAGCAGACCAATTTTCTGTTCATTAATTCAGACACTGTGTTGATGGCTTGTATTGAATATGATAGCAAGATTTACAGCCCTAACAGGTCTCTGCTTCATTTATTCTTCCTTAGTCATACCAGAAGTACACGCAGCAGATTAGCACCTGGTTTTAAACTTGTTACACTTTAACAAATGATGGGAAAGTCTTTCATCTCCTATTTCCAACTATGGAGCAACTTTTATGCAATCATCTTGAAATTTCACAGTTTATTAAAATGTTATTTTTTTTGGAGCATGGGTAGCAATAAAAGTTTAGTAGCAATGTCATTATGGGCAGTAATGTAACTTCCATCAGTTCATGCAATGCTCAGGAAATAGCTATCAAATATTAACAGCCTCACAGAGTCTTTAGATTAATAAGTTACTTTACCTGTATACTGAACTTTGAGCCGAGTTTCATTGCTAGTTTTTTCTGTAAATAGGAAATATCCTGAGAGGCTTACAATTATGCACATTCTTTGCTGGCCATCTTTAAAATGTGATTTTTCTGCCTGGAACTTAGTATGTAGCTGGAAAACAGCCTGTATTGTGGACATAGCATGATTATTAAAGAGAGAATCTTTTTCAAAATGTTTGATAATTAGGTAATATTCTGTCTCTCAGTTTAGTTATTCCTCTTATTTCTGGAATACCTGAAAATAAAGATTTGGACTGTATACTTTCCTCGTATAACAAGTGATGCTTCAGCCTTTATGGCCTAAGGATATAAAGGCAAGGTGTGTAAGAAGCATTAATACCTTTTATTGTATCACTTTCTAAATTGTTCATATAAAGGCATTTCTTAAGGATCTGGACACAGAAGCTGGAAGTTAAAGTTGTAAATAGGTTGGTGCTGGATCAGACCCCAGAGATCGTCTCTTCTCATGTCTGGGCTGGAACAAGAGCAAATTCTTAGGAAATATTTTAAAAACGTGTGAATTTCTCAGGATGGTAATTCAGGATATACTTCTGGTCACTCACAATCGCAGGTTCAAGGGCTTCTAAAAAAAAAAAAAAGCATCTCCCTTCAAGACCCATAATCTTTGATGGATTTTTATTCCATTTTTCTAATTCTTGTTTGGACCCACATGCAGTCCTGACACCTACTCTACTCTGGGACTGTGACTTCCACAGCTTGTTTACCTTCTGTGTGAAGAAATAATCCCTTTTATTTGTGTTGAACCTGTCACTGACTGGTGTCATTTAGTGCCTCCCAATATTTATTTTGGAAAAGGCAGGGAACGAGCATTCATTATTTATCTTCTCCGTGCTGCTTATGACTTTTTTGATTTCTGTCCTAGTTCTGTTCAATCAGTTCTTTCCCAGGTTTAAGAAGCTTAGTTTGTTCAGTCATAAATTGTATGAAGCAATATTTTAAAGTCCTGAATATAATCAGACATGCTTGTGAAAATGCCATGGCCTTGGACAACACTCCAGAACTAATGACAAAATTTTAATATTGTCAAATCCAAACACAAACTCTTTTAATTATTCTGGTCTCAAATGCAAGTCTTAATCTAATTCAGATCCTGCTTTTTTTTTTTTCAGGACTGAAAGTGTTGATAAAATTTATTCCATAATGAAAAGAAAGAGATGCTTTGAGAACTTTGCCTATGAGTCTGACGGGCTGCTGCTGCGATGTGGACACTGAGAATCTTAAGTCTCTAAAATATTGCTGTTTGGAGAGGATCATCTGTATTGCAGCAACAGTTTGGCCTCACAGACTCTGATTCATCCCAGTCTCAGAAAAGATTTGTTCTTCCTACACTTACATGTAAAACAGTGATATGTAGGAGATGACTGTTTTTATTGATAGTAATAAGTGCAGTGTAGAAGCTTTTTGTTTGCACTTCAGAGCATTTTACAAAGGAGGTTAATCACTGTGATGAGTATTGTCATCACCAGCTTAGAAATAAAAGACAACTGAAATACAGGTAAGGAAGGAGTATGCTTGGTCTGTACACCAAAGTTTTGAAAGAACTGGGTCTCTGGACCCAGTGTCTTCAGCAGGTTACCCCAAGCTGGGCAGTGTGCATCTGTTTGAGGTTACAATGAGCTGGGTCTGTGCTTTCATGAATCCGATAGGATTTAAACTCACCTTTGACTCATCCCAGAACAACCCATGGATAATGTTTAACCATTCACGTGTCCCTAACACTTCTGGGATGAATCATGGTAGCTGTGCTGGGGTAGTCATAGTGAAGGTAGGCAATGAGGAAGAAGTTTGGTGGGATTCATCAATTCTCGTTCTTAGTTTAGCCAGGTTGGGAAAAAAAACAACAAACCAGCAACGATACTCTTGTGCCAGGAAGCGCTGCCAAATCTTTTAATGGCAGTGTGCTTGGGACGTATGTTTTATCTGTGGGGCAGTACCTGAACACACTGATCAGACTTGAATTTCAGTTTATGAGACCTGAAAAAGTCACAACTCTTTATTGTTGTAATGGTTTTTCATCCTGAGTCTTTGACCTGCTGCCCCACCCTCATTTGGAGTCTCTTTCACACATCTTTCCCAGTGTTTCTGTCAAGTAGGTTTTGAGCTTTGAGAGCTGAAGACTACCTCCTGCCAGTGCAGCAGCTACTGTGGGGGATTCTTGCCCTTGCCCAGGTGCCCTAAATGCTGGGGTAGTCCTGATGTGCAATAGGAACAAGCTGATTTGTCTTGTTCCATGTGAAAAAGACAGTTTCTCTGCAAGCATCTCCTTCTGGTATTAGTTTGCAGGACAAATGGCAGAGCTGGAAGACTTGTACATTATTACGTTCCAGAATCTGTTATGTTAGAGAGTGATTGGCCTTTAACTTTCAGACACTTTCTAGGCACCTGACTTACTCAACTCCTACAGAGACTGTGGATCTTGGAAACCTGTAAGCACAAGGAATATTTTTTCATCTTGTTTTTTTCTACACTAACACTATAGCCGGCTGTGTATGTATATTCAAAACAGGTCACCTCCTTGCATTCAGCTCTGGGAAAGTGTGGCAGAATAAACACGTGACAAAGACTAACCATGAGGTTTAATGACTATCCTGGAAGTCACTTTAACATCACAGCAATATGTGTTAAAGAAAATAAATAAATCTGTGTTCTTTAGAGGGAAGTCCCCAGCAGTACTTTTGGTTCAAGTCCGTAATTAGGTTCTACACAAACAGACAATTTCAGATTTCCTTAATGTTCTTTTCTTTTCCCCTTTGCAGATAATGAATTCATATATAGAAACCAGAATGGCACAGTGATTCTGAGGAATGTCGAAACTAACAATTCAACAATATTAATAGAAAACAAAAAAATTGTAAGTATTTTCTATAATGAGTAGCAGAATTTCACAGCTGTATTACGGTTCAATCTGTAAAGCAGAAAATGACTTGGGTTTCAACTTCGTGTATTGTCAAGGAGAAGCAGTACGCTGGTAATACTATGGGCTACACAGTGACTGATAACGTGAAACTGAACTCCAGCTTTTGTTATTGTTCTGCAAGCTCAGTTTCTTTCATACTACAGGAAAGTATTATATAGATATTTGAAGCTAGTCTTGCATGTCATACATGATTGGAAGATGCATGATTTGCGTCTTTGTATGCTTAATAGAAAAGACAATTTATGTAATTTACTGTCTGTTGGTAGCATTCTCCACATTCCTTTGCGCAAATACTTATTTTTTAATTTGTGGATTTGCTGATTTTTCTTGCCTAATGATTGAAATTTAATTTCAGGGTTGTTAATGAATAGTGTTGATGAATGGAAGTGGAGTTGCATATGAGAGAAACCCCAAGAAGTTACTGGGAAAAAAAGTTGTTAGGTTGCTATTAAAATGAATGAAAAAATAAATTTACAGCTGATACAGAGTATTATTTATAATGATGAAAGTGTTTTGTAGCACTGTGTTTTGTAGTAGATGAAGCCAGCATTGTGGCAGAAGTTAGTACGCTAAATGTCAGACTGTTTTCAATAATTCCTGTAAGAAGTTAATTTCTGAAGTAAAATACACTTATGTTTGCTCCAACAATGAGTTATGAATCGTATTGCGCTGGTAAAGTTGTCATTTATGCAGTACTTGCATAAGATTTTGATTAACTTGAGGGGTTTTTGTTGTACTGTATCATTGCAAAACTACAAAAGCAGAGGATGGCTAACAGAGACTTGTCTTAATGACCCAAGACATGTAGAAAACAGCTTTATAAACTCAAAAGCTAAAAGTAAATCTATACGAAAACTATAAAACCACATTTCAGGTTGATTTTATTTTGCAGTGTGAGTACATGACTCATACAAAGCTCAAGTACAGTATTAATACATTTCAATGAGACAAAGAATTTATCAGTGAATTGTTATTGCAGGACCCAACGTTAAACTTCACATGCTGCCATTTAGCCTTCAACCTTTGCTATATCTCATAAGCAATCCTGTTTTAGCAGAGTGTAACCCCTTTCTTTACAATTCTGCTAAGGGTAAAGGAATGGGCTGGCTTCCTTTAATGTCAAGGTCTGTTGAAGCCAAACTGCTTCCATTAGGCCTCTGTTTATTCCCCTGGGGTTTTTTTTTTGCTATTTGTAAGAAAAGCATGGTGTTACAAGGTAATTCTACTTTTTCATGCTGTGGGCTCCCTACTGCCTCTTCTACCCTTGCACCTCTGCTCTCTTGGTAAATAAATCTGCAGAACATCACCTCCATGTTAATCCAAAAAGTCCTGATAAAAGAACTGCCGTTACACCTCATCCAGGCACGTTGTCTTTGTCTTCTTCCTTCCCAGCTCTGGGTCAGAAAAACTTTTGCTACCTTGGCATGTTTTCCTTTCTCCGTGTTACTAATATAACAGTAAATAAAATCTGTCTTCGTGCTGACATTGCTGCCTGTCACACTCCCCTGGTACACCCATCCTGATCCGTGCTGGCCCATCAGCCCATTAGGTTGTTCAGAGAGGTGGTAGATGCCCCATCCAAGGAAACCTTCAAGGTCAGGTTGGACAGATCTCTGAGCAACCTGATCTGGCTAAAGACGTCCCCGCTTGTAGCAGAGGAGTTGGACTGGATGACCTTTAAAGGTCCCTTCCAACACAAACCAGTCTATGATTTTATGATCAGTGCCCTCCGCCTGTGGCGTTCCCCTGGGTTCCCCACGCACTGCCTCCAGCCTCGCTGGCCTTGGGGAGGACTTTCCCAGTGGGTTACTGTGCATTTCCCTTCAGCCCAAATTCCCTTTTCCATTTTGCTCCATGGGAATCTGTCAAGGACTTGCATCTGATTTATTAGGTGAGAGGGTGACATTTAAAAGGTAGTGAGTGAGCAGTATGTTAGTGACACCTCTCCTTGACCTTGTTGCCGTGTGTGCCAGCAGTGTATCACATTGAAACACACTGGAAAGGAGAAATATCTGCACTATACAAATGATAAGTGGAGCAAGGAAAAGGTAATACCTGACAAGTCTGAGGTATTTTGGCATCTCTTCTTATTAGTATGACTTACAGCACAGCTTTTTGCAGAACCCATGTCAGGGTGCACCTGGAAGCTGTATCACCACAGCATCCCAAAGGCTTTTAACTGGGGAAAATGGGATAGTTTTCCTCAATGTTGTCTTAATTGGGAGAGGTAGTGCTGTCTCATTATACTAATTTGCTCCAGCAGGTATTTACTGTTTGTTATCTCCTGCACTTAGGCCAGTGACTGCAGGGAATGAGAGGGAATTAATAAATTGGTATTTATCAGAGTTTTCTACCTGCTGCCCACAGCTGCTGCACCAGCCACTGTGCAGTAAGTTTGTAAGGAAAATTCTGATTTTTGAGATAGCTGCCTGCTGTGAGTCACAATGCAGTTATGCTTTCTCTTATGGGAGCATATAAGTGCCCACATAATATTTCTGGGTTTTTAAAAGAGATGGGATGTATTATTTTTCAAGACACTTAATCTGGCAGTATTCTTCATTGTTAGAAAGATGATCATAACAATTGGTTCTAGATGTCATTGGCTTGAAAACTGAAAAATGTTTATTTCAATGTTTGATTTATTTTCTAGGTCTCCTTAAAGGCTATTCGATATGAAGTATCACCTGACCGGGAATATGCACTTTTTGCTTTTAATGTTGAACCAGTAAGTAAATAGCTTTGATTTCAAATTACAGAGTCAGTGATGAGCCTTTTTTTTTTTTTTTTCCGACTTTTATGCCAGTAAGGTGATATTTTAAATTAATTGCTTGCTATGAAACAAGGAAAGAAAACCCCTCACTTAGATATTCTGAGAGCATGTCATACTGCCATCTAGTAGAGGAGAAAGGTATAAATTACACCTTAGAGGAAACACTGTCATTGCCAGGATTTTATAGTCTTTGGGAGGGGGATTGTAAGGACACGTCTTTGCTACAAGGATTTCTATTCTTCTTCTGTGAGGTTTTTTTTTCCATGGTGCCTTTTTCAGTCACACTATAAATTTCTTCCCCAGAACAAAAAGCAACTGTCAGTGTCTCCCACAACTGAAATAAAACATTAATTATGGTGCCACTGTTCCCAGTGCTGCAGTTAGGGTTGAGCTATCACTTTCATTATAAATCCTTTTCTTCAGAGGGTTAGGTGTAAATCATTTGTAAGAAATCACCATTCGGTTACTACTAAGTTTTAGATTACGGTGAATTTTCTACCAAACTTCAAAAGAGAAAAGCGTAATGAGTGATTTTTAAATGATGACTAAAGAATCACACACATGGGAAGCAGTTCTTCAGCATGAATAATATTTATTTTCTTTTTAAATTCTGCTGGTATAAGACCTGAAATGTTTGAGTGATAGCTATGCTGTGCTACTTGGATAAACTATAAGCCCTATACATTCTGTTTCCATAATCTAGAATTGCACCAATTCCTCGAAATGAAATAATTCATTCACTGGCAACTGTAATTCTTCCTCCATAAAATAAATATAGTTTCAGCTGCTAACCAAAGGAAAATTGTTGGTCCTTTAGGTAGTAGAGGTTGTGGCTCGTCTGATTTCTCTGCTGTCATCTTTGGAGTTATTCTTGACTCACAGTGGTGTAAAAGTCAGAAGAACCATGCTTGGTGTTAGAAAAAGTTCAAATAAAACTGTATCAGAAATTTTAGAGGTAATGCCTAAAGCCTTTTTTTGCTGGGAAATCATTGCTGGTGCAACTTCACTTACCTGAAGTTTGGCAGAGTTCTAGACAGAGATGGATGTTGAAGTGGTAAGTTACATCTAAATATGGGGAAGAAAGCCTAATGGCTACTGAGCAAGCAAAGCCTTTGTCTAAAAGCTCCCCTGCCTTGTGTGCCAAAGGTGCTTTGTAAAATTCAGTTCTTTTAGTGGAGATTGGCTTTTGGCTGTGGAAGCCCTGTGCTGATGCTGCTTAGATTCATTATGCAAGCTGGAAGAGCCCTGAGGAGACAGGGCTTTCTTAGTTCCTTTGAGAACGAGAGAAAGATGTCTGTAACAACAAAAATTGTAGTGAGAGAACAAATTTTATTCCTAAAAAGCAGTAGTAAGAAATTCACTTTTTATTCTCAATATTTATCCACCGAAAGGACTGCATGCTCAGGATGTCTGCAAGAAGCAAAGTTACAGGGGCTTTTGCAGCACAGACTTCGTGTTCAGCTTGCAGGAGAACACTTGATGTAGGCAATGGAGGAGGAGGATGGGGATGGAAAGGGATGGACTGGACATGTTTCCTCTGAATCCTCCTCTCTGCATTTCAGTGCTTGCAGATCTGTGGGTTTGAGGTACAGGCAAAATACTGAGTCTGTGGTGCCTACAATCCCTGGCTGGAGAAGAGAGAGCAGCATACAGCCAGGTGTTCACTTCCTCACACCATGTCTTCTTCCAGAAAGGAAAACCCAAGGTGTTAAGCTGGAAACATTGCCTTTGGGAAGATTTCAGGATGTGAAATATATTCAGTGTAAGAGAGCACTGCAAAATGTTCAAGTAGTTATATGAGTTTATGATCACAAGAGTTCCTGAAATAGTCTCCTGAAACAAAACAAAACAAAACTAAAACCCCTCCTTTTTTCCTTTAAGATCCATGCTTATAAAGAATACAAAGTTGGTTTTTTTTGAAGAAGCAGCATACTGATAGAGGGGTAGTAAAATTCACTCTTGAATATTGCATCCTTAAGCCATGATGGATGCCTCTTTGTTTATTAAAGTTGCAATAACTGTTAAATTACTTATTCAGCTTTCTTCTCACTTGGTATGCAGACTGTGGCTACAAATAATTGCATGTTAGTTAGCTTTTCACATTTTCTGCATTTCAAACTGTATTCTTGGACAAAATTCAAATTACACTGTTTTCTGCAACACAAGAAATTGATTAGCAAAGCCTTGGGCAGTTGTCCTTGTTGCAAAGTCAAAAGGAAATTTCAGGAAATGTGTTGGCAAAGGACATTTGTTTAAAGTTTAATTCTACAAATACTTTCAAAAAAGAAACTTCTTGAAACTATTGTGTACTTATTTTATAGGTGTCAAAGTGTTGCTTTATTTTTTGCCATTTAAAAGTGTGACATTCTGCCTTTTAATTGTCTGTGAGTATGGATGTTTTCATCATTTTTCGTACTATACAGCTGTGCTGCATTTAAATATGTGTATAATATCTTAATATAGATCATATGAATTATTTTTTTTGTCTGAATTCTAATATGAATGGATTCAGCCTCATTTTTTAATACCAGCTGGGAATAAAAGTCAAAATAGAATAGCATAGTGTGTCACTTCAATGAAGCAAAAGTGTTTTTAAGAAAAATGCTACAAAGTAATTTTCTGCCAGAAATAGCTTTCTTCTAAGGTTTTTCTGTTTATTTGCACAGAAGCATCTCTGCTCAGTGTTGGTCTGGGTAACGGCACTGACACCCACATTGGAATAACACAGCCCTGAACTGGCAGACACCTATTTTGCAATGATATTGAGGCAACTAATGTGTGTTTTCTTGTTGTATCACTTCATCATCTTAGAGGATGATAAATTGTAGCATGTTCCTTAAAATATATTTCTCCCAGGAAGTTTGACAGGCAGTTGTGAGACTGGCGTGGGTACATTGTGGCTAGTCAGGCTGTCAGGTTTCATTCTAAATGCTTTTTTGCAGTGCTTATATTTACAGAAGTTTAATCTTTCAGGCAGCAATATTCTGGGTAAGCCATGTGCTAATAGGGAGCTTTTCTAACCTTGAACATGGGAGATTTGTTCTTTTTCTGGAAAGGTCATAGGGAAGGCGCCAGGCTTCTTTGTCTTTAAAATACTCTTACAATTTTTCTGTTGTTTGATTGTATTTTTCCTTTACACTACAGCAAGGTCTAACTTGAGGCTGAAACCACAGGGTGAAGTTTTGGGAAATCATTGGGGAATATATACCCATACAGACAAACTTTGATTTCAAATCATCCTTCCCCAAAACAAGTGTGTGGGGATCTGGCTGTAGAGTTCAGTAACCCCAAAACACATAGGCAAATCGGGGTTTAGCCACAGCATCTCAGCAGAATGGGTGCAGAGGGTCAAGGCTGTCTCTGGTGGTATCATGTCAAAGCCACTCTTGCCCAGCACATGGTTCCACCAGTGTCACTGGATGAGCTCCATGCTCCCTGCACACCTCCTGGGGAGACACAGAGATCTTTATGGTGTTTGGGCTGGAATCACATTTGTGAGTCTCCATGGTCTCCAAAAGGGATTTCCTAAACAGCCAAGCAACAAACCACTTCTTAAATTCAGTAGCTTTTCTGCGACTGGGAGAGTGATGGTTTAAGAATAATGAGGAGTAACCAAACTCCATGGGCTTGTGTGGCTTTCTGTGGTAGTCAGAGGTAACCAGTGGAGTTTGTGTAAGGGCGGTAAAAGAAAGAGAGGAAAGTAAATGAGAAGAAAAGTGATTTTCTTGAATGGCACGGTGAGACATATTTAATTGCCTTTATTACGAATAGCTGTTGTCTAATGCAGGAGAGGAAATAAAGTGGTCAGGAGTCTTCTTAAAGCTATTTATTCTTCATTTCCAATTTACCAGTCCATTACTGTGTTTGAGCTAGTTAAGAGCAATTACACACAGGAAATCCTGGCTGATTAATACAGACCAAACTGCTAAGTCTTCTGAACAACAATTAGGGCTTAGAGACTTTTATAGCTGATACAACAGAGGCTATTACCTATTTCGCACTTAAAGGAATGCATTTTTATAACGCTGAAAGCTGCAAAGAATTAATCATCGTTGTAATTAGAGCAGGTCTAACTATTCTTTTTTTTTTTTAGAGTAGTTTATGGGGTGAGTTTAGCATTTCTTTTCTCCCTGTTTGTTGCCATAGATCTCACAGGACTGGCGGGACCAAAGAGAGGTCAGAAACACCCAGTCCAAACCCTGGGCTTTGTATTTAGAGCATGAATGAATTTAAAAAGCATTATTTGTAGAAAGCAGCATATTATTATTGTTCTTGGTAGTATTTTTTACTATTTGTCCAAGTCTGGTTGCTATGTGGAATGAACAGGTTTTGTGCTTATGGCTCCGATTACGTCATACTGCTTTAATTAGTCATGTAAAAATTAAAATAATGTAACACTTGATATTTCCAAAACACTAATGGGTATAAATATTAGTGAATCTTCACAACATCCTTTTGAGTTGTGTGCACTATTATCATGATAAATATACCTTTGAAAATTAGACACTGTCATAACTATCATCAGTAATACTGCTAATACTGTAGCTATGAAGTTTATTACTTAATTGAAATGGATTTACCAGTGCTAGAAATGGGTTTGCATAAACCCATTTTCTTTCTGTGGCAATACATGCATTTCAAATTTACTTTTTTCGTTCCTGTCCAATGTTATTTTCAGAAACAATGAAAATGTAGTGTTTACACTATGTAAAGTGAGCATCATAAAATGATGCTACCTCTTTTAGTGATTTGTTTAATTTTTGGTGTTTGTTGTAAACCAGTAGAATTTTTGAGTGGAGCATTTTGAGATGAAAAGCTTATGTTTATAGTTTTCATATCCTTTTTTTTTTTATATGAATGCAATTTTGAATCTTTGTTGTTCATAAACCCGAAGGAGTCCTTCTCTATTGTAAAGCTGCACAGTATAAGGGCAGCGTTGGCTATTATCAAAGGCT